TTCAAATTACCTGAAGTTAGACTTGGATTCATTTCTTCCTTCAGAAAATACATTAAGTCAAAGAAAGGCCATGGTGAAGTTTTGAACTGACCGCCCGCGTCACCAGAAGTGCATTTCATAACCTTTCTTAACTCCTTCCTATAGTGATCTCTCATATTCTTCCACTTACTTCGAGCATCATCCTCTGAAAAAAAAAAATCTAAATTGTATGTGAATCAGTAAACCTATTTAGTATATCTGTGTATGTGAGTTCATTAGTGAGCGAGTGAGTGTGTGAGTAGCCAGTGCGCTGCAGCGGCACTGTGACCGACTTTGCTTGCCGTCTAGGTCAGTTATATGAGGACAGAGTGATGAGAAATAACCCTAAATTGTACGGTTACATTAGTGAGTATGTGTACGAGGGTGTGAGTGTGAGTGAGTGAGTGTGGGTATATCTATACGAAGAGTCTGCTATAAAATATATCGTCACATAAAATTTTGTTTGTTTTTCTGTTTGAGGTCCTTGGCAACTGGCACATCATTTACAATGCTGGGGTTTTCTTTCCGCATGGAAGCTTCAACAGTCAAAGCCATGGTAATGGATACCTGCAAAGCATTTTGGGAGAAACTAGTAGAAGAGCATACGCCAGCGCCTTCCACGGAACGGCTGAAACAATCAAGGGCAGGATTTTTGAATGTGTGGAACTTCCCNCAAGGTGTTTCCGATCCAGAGTACAAATTCATAACAATTGACGTTGGAGCGAAAGGCAGTCAGAATGATGGTGGTACGTTTGCTGCTTCATCACTGTGCGCAAGTCTCGAAAGCAAGAATTTCAATATGCCTCCAGACTGCGAACTACCTACCTCTTCAGAAAAACTTCCTAATGTTCTCATAGCTGATGAGGCATATCCACTAAAACCCTACCTACTTAAGCCGTATGCTCGAAAAAATTTAACACCAGCAAAAACCGCTTTCAACTATCGTCTGTCACGAGCTCGTAGGTGCATAGAATGTGCGTTTGGTATCCTGTATGCGAAATGGCGCATTTTGGGAAAGGACATTGAAACATCAGTACCTAATGCTATAGCAATCATAAAATGTACTTGTGTTCTCCATAATGTAATAAGAGACAAAGATGGGGAAAATGATCCTGTATACCGAGAAGTGCGCTTCAATGGGCTTCAAAGTGCTCCCCTACATAAACATCGGAGAAACAACAGATATACAACATTGGCAGAAAAAGTCCATGATACATTTGCAAACTATTTAAAAACACAAAGACTTCTGAAGGGTGATTAAGTGTGTGTTGTTATAAAAATCAAACTCTCAGGTTTTTCCCAAAGACGTCCAAATGTTATTTTCATGTCTACTTGAGTAGCTAAAATTAACTAGAACAGAAATATTTGCCTTCAGTATGTGGATTTGAATTATAATGTTTCTACCTATACAATATACAAATATAAAGCTACGTTAAGTTAAAATTAGGTAAGATTTTGTGTTATTTTAGGTTAGAAAGCTGTTAAATGTAAATACACTTACTTGTTGAATCTAATGCTTTTGCTATTTCTCCCCACATCTTCTCAATTACACCTCTGTTGCGATGATGCTTGTGTTTTCTTTGCCAAATCGGTGGTCTGGCAAATACTTCTGTTATGAGCAGTTCTACGTCCATGTTGCCGCGTTCAATCGCTTCCACAAAACAAACTAGACTGTTCCAGAGTTACCCGCACCGCTCCGCAACGCACCGCTCCGCCTCAAGTTGCTGTATGTTTGTTGCGTCTCATACCTCTGCATTGTGTTGATCATCCCGCGCCGCCCCGCCCCGCGACACTGTCTGTGTGTACGTACCCTAAGATTTACGACTTGTCTGTGAAGAACATATTTATGATGGTAATTACACATTTTGCCACAGCTAATACTCACTGTCTAGAGGTGATAAATGGAACATCTTAAATATATATCTACTTAAAGAGTATGGTCTCCTTGGTTGCAAAAATATGTTAACTGACACTGCATTACAGCCTAGAAGACTACACTCTTCACAGATATCACCATGGGAACATCAAATCCAATATACTTCTACTTGATCCTTTCTCCTGCACACCTTTGATCCATAGAAGGAATACTCTTTTACTGTTAGAAGAGTTACCCCAGGATACTGTGGCATACAGACCCATTGCTAAGTAGTGACTCTGTAAACATCAGCCGTTGATAGGTAACGTCCGCAACCTTCATGCATGCCACAACAGAAGTACAGCTGAAACAGGCACCAGAGCTCTCTACACTCCCTTTCTAGTGACAGTTATTTTCATTGCCAATTCCATCAGTAATTTTGTGTGCTGTTGGTACAACTGCAGAATAATAGTCATAGCCAACTAAATTTAAAGGCTGCTAATATTTGAATTAAGTTTTATAATAAGACGCATGATATTCAGCTTATACCAAACAGAACACTCACTTCAGCTCCATTACAAAAATGAACAAATTAATGCTGTTCAGGAAAATGCCCACTGTTTATTCTGAGAACCATGCGAGACATACGTACAGGGAAAAAATGCAGGTGGTACAGACACTAACCACTGAGCTTTAAAAGTGTGCAACTACAATAATAAGATTACACTGTTACAATAATTTTTACACCTGGGGTGACTGGTGGATTCCTAATGCTGCCCATTTTAAGAGATACTTAACTCTCTTCTATCTAGCTACAATTAGTTATGATCCACAAAATTATAATCCTCACAACTTCGTTTTCTCCCACTACATTCAGATTTTAGATTTTCCACAAACATTCAAATCTAAAATGGAACAATTTCACAGTATTGTGACTACATTATCTGTTACTGAATTCAAGTGTCACTCACAGTTACTTGACCTGACAAAAGCCTGTAACTGAATCTGGTTTCCATTAAAGGTTCTGGCTTTAACAAGGACTATCCCTTCTTCCTTCAAACGTTCACTTTACTCTACATTATACAGACACTTTGCATACTTAGCTCTGCCTACACAGTTAAGTCTGATAATACATAAGCAACCTTGAAGTGAAAGTACATATTATGGTACATGTCTTCTTTACATATCTTGTGCGAAGTCCACTTAATTAAACCAAATCAACCAAACCAATTTGTACGGGGCTCATGGCGCAATCTGGACTTTAATTCATATTAATTTAAATAACAAACTCGCCGGTTTTAATGCAACACTCAAGTCAAATTAGTGAAAATTATAAAACAGAGAACGCCACTTCCACGTCAAAGGATTACTGTATATTAGCACTGGAATTTCAATATTTTATTGAAATTCCAACATAAACTCATCACCGATGACGATGTTCTCACCGAAAATACCATGGGATTTCGTTATCCTTCTTCCATATATTCTTGCTAGCACAACACGAAGATGTGAGAACGAATCAGTTAAGCCCCGGTTAAGACCGGTTAAAACTGAAGCTCCATCTATCACGTTACCAGATTCACAACAGATTCCAACGGCAACACAAATGTCAACCACCTACAAGACGTGTTCACACACTTCATACCCTTCTTACAGCTCCTAGTTTGCGAGGACCTTGACCACCTTGACCCCCTATTAACCCTAATAACTATAATCGGCGTAGGGGAGTCACGGATCACAAATGACCGGTCGTTCACCCGAATTACTTAACTGTTGAAAATTTGTAGTGACGAATGTAACTATAAAGTGATCGAAAGTGATTACAGACTTTTGAATCCGAACTTCATTCCCCTCATTTAAGCCGTTCAAGCCCTCTGTCTCTGTCTAGGAGGGCGCTACGATCGCTACGATTCAGTCTTGTCGCCACGCATTTCAAAATCAGTTCGCGGGAATATTAGTAGCAAGGCAAACTGATAAACTTTCAGTTTTCTGCTCTCTTCAGAGACTACCAAAATCGGATTATCATTTTGTAATAAAGAGTTATATCATCTGAGATACAATGCGGTGTATTCAACTGGAAGTTAACCGACGTTTCGGAGGTGACCTTTCACTGTGGCCACAAGTCAAAAGTTGCCAGTGGTGCACTGCTGCTCCAGCTATATAATTTAAAGTTTCTGAATATATTAAAAATTGTTGTCACTGAAAGAAGAATGTAAATTTATACTAAAATGGATCTTAGGAAAGCTGGTTTTGAGGAACTTTGGAGAAATAGCCCATGATTCACTAGTTGTTTGCTTTATTATTACTGATACTGAAACTTTGCATTGTAGAATTCGGTATTGCCTATCAGAACAGAGATGTCATTAGGGATGTAAACTCAGTTAATGCATATGCCTTACTGTGTCCTCAAATAGTAAAAGACTGGGTGACTGTGTCCAATGACATCAGTGTTCTGAGAAACAGTGCTTAGATAAAGAATGGAACTAAAGTCCAGGTGAAGTATGTTTTTATTATCACATCAGAAGTTCTCATGACAGTGAGTCTTAATATTACAGTATTCTGAGATGTTACACTATACAGATGTAGCCTGGTAAAGAGGTATTTTTCTTCCAGACTACATGGCATCATGTCCTACATGTCCTACATGTCCTACAGGACATTTTTATTTTTTTTTTGACAGTCCTGTGTAACATGTAAAATTAACAAACATGTGTAGTTCTAACACTTTTTAGCCTTCTTATGATTGTAGTTCATTCTTAATTATATTATATTTCAAGATATGATGAAACAGATACAATTCTTCCAGAGCTGTAAACTGTAAGCTAGTGGTTCCTGATAGTTTTTCTTGCAGTGACCCAAACTTGCTCACCAAACACAGCCTTCCATCTTTTAAAACAACCATTCAGATACTTGTCTCACTAGAAAATGGAGAGGTATTTTTAATGATACTTTTGGATGCTACTGAGAATATTTGTGACCTGATATTTCAAGCCACTGCTGAAGGGCTTCTTGCACTAGAAATCTATTTCTTCAGGCTTCAGTCCAACTAGGACTGCACTTTTCTCCCAGACCTTCTTGGCGAGATCCTCATTTAATGCTTTGTGTGATGGTTTTATCTCCTGTTAGAAAAATAGTGCTTAGTGAGTTGGTTCTAGCATTGGCAACCATGAAGAGTATCATCTTCTGGGATGTGATATCATGTAGTCTCATGGGAGTTTGTTGATGTTTTTGAAGAATTTTGGTGAACTTCTGCTGGACTGCATGGAATCACATCCCAAAAGTTGTACTTTACAGTGCTTTATAGTTTTGTTCCCCTTTTTTTAAGTTTGTATTAAGTCAAAACTCTCACCATAGACATTAATTTTTGGAAAAAAAAAGGACTTAACATGAGACTTTATTTAATCATTTGTTTTTCATATATTATAAATTGTCAGGAAAATTTAAATTGGTTCATAGAGGTCCAAAATAGCCTGTACTTTGTACTGCATTCATATCAGCTGTCATAATTTTCTGAAAAAGAAAGGCTTTTTTTTTCTGTAAAATTGGTACATGACATACAATATAGATTTTATTACTATCTATAACTTCTATAATGCATCTGCTATGGGAACAAGGATGCATCATTTTCAGTGACATTGGGTGGTACATCATCATTGGAAAGTTACTAGATTCCATTTCCAGCATACATCTGGAATTCATATGCCAATGGGAAATTCAAACACTCTTACATAGGATTTCCCTTCAAGTTTCACTGCATAGGGTATGATGTACCCTGGTTTGAAGAGCAGGTGGACATTATGTGACGTACTCTTATACTTATGTCCCTAAAATTCTGAAGTGAGTATGTTATGGTTTTATGTTATGACAAATATAGTGTCCTCACTTAATATATAAAAGAAAATGGCGGATGTTAGGTTTCTTTTCATATTGAATTGTTAAAAGTGGGACAATGTATTGTATGATTGATTTGTAGGTAATTAAGTTTCATAGTATTGCTGACTCATGTATGATATGTATGTTATTTTAATATGTAGTAATTGACTTGTTCTACATCCGGAGGTTGTATCTCTAAATACGGATTCTTGGAACAAATAAACTGATTGATTGACTGATTGATTTCTTGCTTGAAATACATAAAATGAACAAATTCTGGTAGGTCATGTTTATTTGTCTGCACAAGTACTTCATCTCTGATATTACCCAACAGATCTTATTGGAATTTAATGTTGAGGTCCCACACTAAAAGTGGACCTATTTTTACTTTCTTTAGTTGAAGAACATAGGTCTTTTCCCCAAAGAGACCTAAGTGGCTTGCTATGAAGTACAACTGGTGTATAAACCATAGAGAAAAGGTTATAAGAGGATGACTTTGTGGGAACATCCCACATTATCACGCATTTTCTGCAACGCACACTCTTCACATCACTTTTCACCATCACGCGCGCTAACCAATTAAATTGTTCCAAACGTTTGCATTTATACTGCGCTTGCTGTTAGCCCCGCATCTACATCATCAAGCACGTTAGCCAATCAGCGCCCTGCAAATTCTTCCTCCTCAATTTCAAGTTTCGCTCCGCCCACCGAGCAGTGTATAAAAAGGAGCAGCCGCAAACCGGCAGCATCAGTCTGACTTCAGTCTACGATCAAGCCACACTCAAGCAACATCAGCCAGCAGGCTTCGTCGCCAGCGCTCGGTCTTCGGAGGCATCAGCAGGCTGCGCCAGGCACGACTGCCTCGGCCGTCCGGCTCTCACACCCGACGCACTGGGGCACCTCGCCTGGACTCACCGGTGGTCGTGTCCTTGTCTGACCCACTGGGCATCTGGCATAGCCACTGCCTCATCACTCCTGCGACTGCGCTGCACGACCATGCAACTTCAACTCACCTGCCGCACGGTGATCAAGCAACCTCCAGCAATGGCCGCGCTGTGGCCAGTCAAACCACCGCAACTAACCTCTCTCCCTACTGGCGCGTGCCGCACTACTTCGCCGATCAAACATCTCAGCAACCACGGTCCTTTTCAGGACCAACAAACTGTTCCGAAGAAGTGTGTTGTCATCGGAGTAATGACAAAACTACATAAAACCCCACAACTTCATACTTGTATCAGACTTGGATTTCTCTCATGTTAGCTTGTGACATCGTCTTAGTAATTAGTTTTAATCAATGATGGTAGTTTATTCTCTAGTCATGCATCTTACCTTACAGTCACAGAAAAATTTTCCAGTTACATCTTCTAGATCTTTGTCAATTGCTGCGAAGATGGATGTCTGAGCAGCTTCAAATTCAGTCTGGAAGTCAAACAAGAAACTGTCAATGTGTCTATGGACTTCATCATTGTCTGGTATTATGAACAGAATACAGTGTGAAGTTACTATGAGCCAAAGAGGAGTCAACTTATCATATTCAAACTATTGTCAACGGCGTAATTATTACAGGAGCCAGAGATGGAATAGTGTCTTAAGGAAACTATAAATTAATTCCCAGCAATAGTGACCCATTCATGAACTCATGTTCCAAACAATCTTCCCAGAAATGCAAGCATTAACTGGTAATAATAGGAGACAGTCATGCAAGAGGATGTGCAGCTAGAGTTAAAATTTTACTAATGACAAATTTGATATCTGGTTTTGTGAAACCAGGTTCTGGTGTTAATATTCTAATGAAATGAGGCTATGAACTAAACAGAGAGGGACATAATGGCATTCTGGGGAGGTACTAATGGTGTGAGCAAGAATAACTGAGATTGGATTAAGACACATTATAAATTTTGTCAAAGACAATGGTCCTACTAATATCATCCTATTGAGTGCTCCATATCGTTATGACTTGATGAAATCTTCTTGTGGAAATGAGGAAATTCCTGTTTAATAGAAAATTAGCTAAATGCATTAAAATATATGAGCACTATATGCTCTTAAATATATACCTTAATAGGGAACTTTTTACAAATCATGGACATCACTTAAACAGGTTAGGTAAAGATGTGACTTCTAAGTAACTTGTTTCTCATATTAATGCACTGACTACAATTCTAATTGGTTAAGTTTGAAAATTGAACCTTCTAACATGGTAATAAGTCCAAAAACATTAAATTTGATTCATCTTTCACAGAATCCTGCACCAACTCAAACAAAAACTGTAGAAAATAGAATGTCTACTAAGCAAGGGAGAACTCCTGTTACAAGAAATGAGGATTGCAAGTAGTAGATTTAGAAAATATCTGCACTCAGAATCAAGTGTGTGTATGTGTGTTGTGTACAGTAGTTGAATGAATGAATGTATGAGGGGTAGGCCTTCTCAGCCCTTGCACCGCGACCTACAGTGGTGTACAGTAGTTACATACCTTGAAAAACATTGTTAAGATATATTTTAAGGCTGGTTGAAGTTTGCTGGGCAGATATCTCCATGTTCGTGTGTAAACTAGGCCAGGATGAACACAGTTCACTGTCACTCCTATAGCATGAAAATTAAAAGGGTAAGGACATGATATTTTCATTCTTAAAGCAGAAATAAATATTTTTAAGAATGTCCTTGTTCTGTCAGGACCACTTTATCCACTAGGCAAAATAAGCGGCTGCCCAGAGCCCTCTGATTTTAGGGGTCTCCAGCTGCATGCATTTCCAGTTTCCATGACCCACTCCGTCATTTTGATTCAGTCAAGTCAGTTCCTTCTCCTCTTCACAGTGCTCAGAGTTTGTTCAGCACATTTCCCATTTTACACATTTTCGATATATGTAATGATTTTAGAAATGCAACACTCCTGTACAATGAATTGCCCATGCTATGAAATTTCAGAATGCTACATTTACTGGCACTAATATTACTGACATTTTAAAAATTCAGAAGCTCAGTATTGGTGTCCCTGAATGTAGGAAATTAAACTTGTTTTATATTATTTTCCATAATAAATTCCACCGGATATAATTTATACAGTGAAATCATTTGTTGGTCCAACAAGCCTAAATCACTTACATTGATTAAATGTGATCATTTAGATTTCATTCGCTGCATGCAGTAATGGTTTCCTGGATAAATACATAATTTATTTGTATAATGGAAAACACATGGTATGAAATGACTTACAAAAATAATTTATTTCATTTGAATTTCAAGATACACTTGGGACTCTTACACTGAACTGGAATGTAATATTACATTATGTTGGATTCAATATGGCAGAGAACTACTTATGAACCCCAATTACTTGTATACATGACAAATCACAAAGACCACTTCATTTCAAGATTGACAAGACAATTGTTCTGAGATGGGCATAGGACTTCAGAGAATGAAAATGCATGTAATTATACCAGTAGGAATTCTAATAACATTATCTTCATTCTAAGCTCATGAATATTATCATCCTGGTTTAGAAATTAAATTCTATTTTTCCTTCTGAAAATCAAGAGTAAATCATTTGATTAACATAGCCTAGAACTCAGAACTTACCCAGCATGGTGTTCAAAGTCTTCGAACCTACCTGTTCCTTTTAACTTTTTGGCCAATTCATTGGCAATCATAATATTTGCTAACTTGCTGCAGAAATAAACTTGGCTTTCATTTAATTTCTTTTCACAATTCAGATTATCAATATCAAATTTTGCACAGTGATGTAAATATGAAGAGACCATTATAATTCGACTGGGAGCAGATTTCTTCATTTTTCCTGTAATGAAAGTAAATAAAGGATTTAGGTAAGTAACAGAAAACTGTTTTCACAAGGAACATCGTCGTCATTATCATCATCATCATCATCATCATGGGCGCCAGCAGGAAGAGGGAAGTCAGGCATCTACACCTCCATGGATTTAAAGAAAAATGAGGAAATGTGCCAAAAATTATAAGTGTTTCTAAATGTTCTTCTGTCTTAAAGAATCTAGGGCAGTTATTAAAAATAGTCTCAAATAACTTAAACATAAATTTACAAACAACCTTTAGAGCCCCCTCAAGCTTGGAAGAATTCTGGTAGCACCTGTGGTCATTATCAAACCAAAGTAAATTAAGTTCTCATCAGAATTATATTGATGCAGCTGGGAGTTTATTATTCACCAATTCTTTTCATTGTTTTTAGCACCACATTGACAATGATGAGATCTGTTGCTCAAGCAAGATTTCAATTTTTTTTAATCAAGAATCCAGGCAGGGGAAGGGGAGATGACTGATTTAACAGCCCCCCCCCAGTGTTGTCATCCACAGTACTGCAATATTTATTTAAAAGTCAATTATATGGGAACAACGGCATGCAGTTTTATTCATTTGTAGAAGGGCATGCGAATCACGCACTTTTATCTGAAGCTGTGAACAAAACTATACAAGCCTGTGAACACTTTATGGGGTAAACATCACATGGGTGCTGACATGGGGGCCAACTAAGAATCTGCCTTCTCCAATGGATATTAGAAAAAAAAAGATAAGGAAATATACCATATATTGATAGTCACAAGACGTTCTGGGAAGAACCAGTTACCTACTTTCCTTAGAACATGGACCGCATAGAAAAGGAAAAAGATTAAGGGGGATTCACAGACACAGAAGGCAAGCTGATATTAAAAGCTTCTTTTTCTTTTTCAAAATAAGGAAAGTAGGCTAAAAACTGGAGGTATTTAAAAAGGTAGTATCAAATGGATTAAATATAACTTTGAGAGCAGACTGTCTGCCCCTCATCCCCCTGGAAAATGACCCTCGTGGCTACCATGAAATGTCACAAGACTGTTCTGTTTGCCAATATGGAACTGGACTTACCAGCTAATAAACAGGTGAGCAGGAAGGGTCCAAAGTGGTTCACCTGCATGCCAATATGAAGATTGTCAGCTGTGCGTTTGTTTCCCAGACCGGTGGCGCCTGCATTGTTGATCAGAATGTCCACTTTTATCTCTGTGTCAATAATGTTGTTAGCAAACTTGCGAATTGATGCTAAAGAAGCCAAGTCCAGGTGATGTACCTCCACTTTTTTGTTTTCAGTGCGTCTGATTATCTCATCTGCCATTAAACAAAAATCGAGTATACACATACAGTATTTCTTGGATTTGAGGCTCTCACAGTGGTGATTATGTGATGCCTGTAGTCCAATGGATGTTCGCCGACGTTTCGGAGGAAAATACGATCTCCATATCCTTCGTCATAGAGTGAACCAAGTAACTGACTATCAAGAAATTGACTCAAGGTACGCGGGTTCAAACCCGGCGGAGGTCGTGGAATTTTTAAGGGCGGAAAAATTCAAGGAACAAGTCCTCCGGGAGGGACTTTAAGCTGTGGGTCCCGTGTCGTAGCTTTACAGCACGTAAAAGAACCTCAAGTCTCTAGGAGACCTCTGAGCAAAATTAAACAAAATGTTTCCTGTCCAAGTAGCTTCCAGTGCCTCCGGTAGATGGGAAAAGTAGAGGGCCGACCTCGCTGGCACCAGTATCGGTAGGGTATGGAGACAGTAGAAATTAAAGGGGACGTACAATAGACTATTAGTCGCGGTGCATGGGGAAACCCACCCCCTCTGTACTGAATAACTGAATACACTTCGACCTGAAGATGGAGGCAGATCGTTGCTCGGAAATATCCGTGAACCCAATCACAGGACATCACGTCCCGGAATGATAGTACCATTTAATGTCCTGCATAACCCGGGAAACCAGTCAATTCAGAAAATAAGCCCAACATTTCGGAGGTCATCTTTGTGTCTTTCATCGGGGAATGACGTACTGGGTAAGCAACATTGCTATTATGTATCTATATACACATAATGCCCTTTCTTTGGCATATGCAATACTTTATCACGCTGCCAGCAGCTAGAGTATATGGCTTTGAACAGTAGAATAACTGATGGATAATTAATTGAGGATTTGAAAGAAGCTGCCATGGCCTATTTGAGATAATAGCCCAGCACTTTTCTGTGGGGACTGAATAGAACCACGGGGAGAAGCTCAGCCAAAATACCCAGTGTCTCGGCTGAAAGTCGTAACGGGAGGTTCCCGAATATATTTCTTGGTGTTTCCGCAAGACCACCCTGTACGTTATTCCTTGTCCTCTTTGCATGCTACTTAAGTTCTGTTTCGTACACATCCAACGTCTTAGTTCTTGTGTTGTTTCTATGTTGCTTAAATGCAGACCTATTCAGCCTGTACACTATAGTTGAGTTCTAATTTCGCTTATGCTCTTAATATTCCTACACGGCGCCACATCCCAGATGACGGCATTCTTCATAATCACCGACGTGAAAACCTCAAATCTTACAACGATATTAACAGTTGCATTTTCTCTGAAGTAGCAGAATACTCGTACTTACCACGAGCTTTGTTTGCCTTTTCCACATCTCTGCAGGCCATTATTATCTTGCTTCCTCTATAAGCCATAGCAAGCGCCGTCTCCTTCCCAATGCCTGAAACATAATATGCATGTTCTTATTTAGCCTAATACAGTAATGTCACGTATATGGATTGATTACAGACAGCGTTTGCTTTGGTAAGTCGATTTATTGACCACTTACAAATCGTAATTACAAGAAACTATAGTGCTATCGCTAACTCACACACTCTGAAGCTTACTAGAGCATACACTAGGTCTTCTCAGTCTGATGTGTCTTCAGCAGTCGTTGCCTCGTGACGGCTTTCAACATCGTAACTTCCTCAGTTTCCGTGTTTACGCCCTTACCGGCCGGCGACTCTCTCACAACTAACTAATTTTGCTTATAAAACCTCGGAACGGATCACACAGAAAACACCGCTTCCAACAGTTCTTATACTGTTGCGTCACGCAAATGTCGCACGGACCGCGCACAGAACACCGCTCCCCAGTTAGTCCATCGGCGCGCGTTAGGAATATGTTGCGTAGCAACAGGCGTTGTTTACAGAGTCATTATTTAGCAACGGGTCTACATGCTACAGTAACGTACGCAAGGTTCTTTTCGCTTGAGGCTTTACAAATGTTAGAAGCTTGGATTATTTTTACGCAATGTGAGTAACCAAGTGAGGACACACATCTGAGGTTGAGAAAACCAATTAGATGTTTTATATTTATTTATTCAGCTATTTTACGGCACCAGTTCAACTCCTGATACTGTATACTGTCGGAGGTGAATATCTTATAAAGTTAGAGACCTGGAAGATTAATTACAATCAACAGACTAATTGGCTACTCTAGTTATTTAATCATTTTCAAGCATCGTACTGGCAAGAGCTCCTTGAGCTACATTAAATAAAACCATAACAGCAGAAGAGATCGACTAATTGTTAAACAATTGCTCTAGCATTCCTATCTGACTTACAGGTGTTTAGAGAAAAAATATTCTTCCACATTTAAGGAAAGTATTTTATGGTTTTCTGTGCAACCGTATTTATCCGCAAGAAACCACCGATTTTCTGGTTGGTAGTTTTATGGCAAGTCTTGACATTCAAGGAGTTAATGATGTGCCTTTTTTTTCTTTTCTTTTTTATTGCTAGTGGGGTGGGACTAAGTCCCTTGTACTGCGGCCACTTCTGGCCTATTGTACCGGGCCCAGATCATAGGTGAGGGTGATTGTGGAGCAATTGGTGGAATGAAGATTGGCAGGGGAAACCGAAGTACTAGGAGAAAACGTGCCCTAGCGCCACTTTGTCCACCACAAATCCCACTTGACCAGACACGGGATCGAACCCGGGCCGCCACGGTGGGAAGCCAGCGACTAACCGCTTGAGCTATGGCGCGGCCTAATGACGTGCCATAGCTCAGACGGTTCAGAGCTGCAGCCTCCCAGCGGCGCTTCAAGTTCTGACCCATGTTGCTTCAAGTATGATTCGTGATGGAAAAGGTGTCACAGGGGCAGGTTCTTCTCTGAGATTTTCTGTATTACCCGCTAATTATCACTTAGCCATTTCTCCGTATTTATTTATCACCGCCCATTGTTAAAACGACAGTTCTTACCAGGTATCATGTTGTCACATGTTTGGTCTTTAAATTTGGGTGGTTATTTCTGACTTAACTCTTGGTTGGTTACGGAGCAAGGAAGTTAATTTAACTACAGTCCAGCAAATATTTATTTCTCCCTCATATCAGCGCTCAGCTCTATCCGCCCCAAAACAGCATTAGTCGACATTGACGTCAGCACTGTCCACTTGTAAACAACATTGCCGACAGTCACGTGTTGACCTGTCGTTTGAAGTTGCTCACCCTTTAATCCTTTAATGCTTTAGCATCTCTCTGTCTGTCCATAAACAAACATAATGCATTTAGTGTTAAATTAATTTCCGTAATGGGCAGAAATCAGATGCATCGCTCAAAGGGTCTTCAGTCCAACACATCTGATGTATTTATTCTGGCTTATAAATTATTTTGGAGGACTTTCATGAACATGTAATGGTTTATATGTCCAAATATTGAAAAAATATATAAGAATGCACAAGAAAATTTAGTAAAAGGTAACGCTTTCCCCGTAACACGCCGTGAAGGCCCATAGGGTTGTGAGACGTCGAGGCTCCCACATTTTCTAGACAATCGGCTCTCAGATAGAAGTGAGGTTAATCAGTCTTACGCGCCGTTCACCCTTCACCCCCAGGAAGATTCCTGGTACTCATTTCTGTTAGAGATTGAATCGACCCCAGGGCCATAGTGCGGCTGGAAGGATTAGGTCAACTAAAAAAAAAACAATGATCTCATCTGGAATCGAATCCGCGATATTCCGGCTTGTAGCATAGTGCCTCAACCAATTACGCTGCCGCGTGCCCCCTCAGTAAATGTAAAGTATCACTTCATTACTTTTAAAAAACGCAAAAATGCAGGGCCCTCTTCTGCAATAGCACATTTATTTGTTAACATTGTGTTTCAAATTTACATAAATGAGCCAATTGTCAGGCAGTTGTCGTCGTGGTAAACAACGTACAATAGTCCATGTTATAATAGAAGCGTTGACGTAAATGTCCACATTGCAATCAGGAAACCGGTTCTGAATATAAGGCAATAGTCGATAACTTGCGTTCAAAACTACTGAATATTTACCTTGTTCGTTATATATTAGCGTCACGCCACTTATTATCCGTAATGAGCGCGTATTAACGAAACGTATTCAGACAATTTAAAATTATCAGAATTGTCAAGTGAAGGACTTTACGATGGGCTGGGCATGTAGTTCTGCTTTCTGGCGAAGAAACTTTCGGAAAGGGACCATTTTTTAAAGTTTCAATATCTACAAGAATAACTCAAGGCGTATCGTAGATAGAGGGACCGGGGGGGGGGAGAATTAGGGCTCTGCCCTCCCCCCCACATTTGAAAATTAAAGAAAAGTAGATAAAAAGGCTGTCCCTGTAACAGACCGCGACGGCCATTGGATTGCGAGACGTCGAGGCTCCCATATTTTCTCTAGACAATTGGCTCACAGATGGCGTTAAAGTTGTCAGCCTTACGCACTGGCCGCCATTTACCTCCCAGGAAGACTGGTACTCATTTCTGTTAGAGGCTCAAATAGCTCCTCAGTTATCCTCACGAGGCTGAGTGGACCCCGTTCCAGACACACTACTGCTCAGAAAATATGGTAGCGCCGGGAATCGAACCCGGGACCTCTGGATCTGTAGCCAGGAACTCTGACGACTAGATCAGAGAGACCAGCATTAACAAGAAATACAAAACACCAGCGCTTGCTTCGCTCTGTCAGCTCACTGTGTTACTGCAATGTCACGCAGTATTCTTACGATTTTTTATTGAACGAGAGAGAGATACTTGCCTGAGTCTGCACCTGTAATGATGGTCGTCTTTCCAATTACTCTTACCCTGCTTTCGCACATTCCCGTTTTCCTTTTCAAGTATATCTTCGCTCCTGTAAGTTGAAATGTCCAGAAGAAAGTTCATAGTCAAACAAAGATTCCGGGATTATCGTTCATTTAAATACAATTCTTAATTTAAGGATTCTTTTGGAATCTCGGATCTCAAATTTCCAGAACTTCAAAACAAAAAAAAAAGTCAGAAAAGGAATATTAAATTTCGTTCCTTAATACGTTTATTATAGAGCAAAAATCCAAAAAGAATAAAGCAATGAATTTTGTGTGC